TGTCGATTAGGTTCAAATGTGTTAAGAATAGTGGCCTACCGTCCAGTACCATGGGAGCGCATCAAATAAATAAGCCCCATTTGTCCCATCACAGTTCAGCTCTCTCCGTCTCAGATCGTTGGCACCCCCACCTTCTTGCAACACCCTTGTTCAGTAAAGTTAAGTATATTTCTGTCTACAGTCATTCTTTGAAGTTCTTTAGGGCTCAGTATGGTTCAGTAGGGCTCAGTATAGTTCCAATATAATTCAGTAGGGCCCAGTATGGTTCAGTAGGGCTCAGTATGGTTCAATAGGGCCCAGTATGGTTCAGTAGGGCTCAGTATGGTTCAGTAGGGCCCAGTATGGTTCAGTAGGGCTCAGTATGGTTCAGTAGGGCTCAGTATGGTTCAGTAGGGCTCAGTATGGTTCAGAAGGGCTCGGTATGGTTCAGTAGGGCTCAGTAAGGTTCAGTAGGGCTCAGTATGGGTCAGTAGGGATCAGTATGGTTCAGTAGGGCCCAGTATGGTTCAGTAGGGCTCAGTATGGTTCCGTAGGGCGCAGTATGGTTCAGTAGGGCCCAGTATGGTTCAGTAGGGCCCAGTATGGTTCAGTAGGGCGCAGTATGGTTCAGTAGGGCCCAGTATGGTTCAGTAGGGCCCAGTATGGTTCAGTAGGGCCCAGTATGGTTCAGTAGGGCGCAGTATGGTTCAGTAGGGCGCAGTATGGTTCAGTAGCACCCCGTATGGTTCAGTAGGGCCCAGTATGGTTCAGTAGGGATCAGTATGGTTCAGTAGGGCTCAGTATGGTTCAGTAGGGTGCAGTATGGTTCAGTAAGGCTCAGTATGGTTCAGTAGGGCCCAGTATGGTTCAGTAGGGCCCAGTATGGTTCAGTAGGGCGCAGTATGGTTCAGTAGGGCCCAGTATGGTTCAGTAGGGCGCAGTATGGTTCAGTAGGGCCCAGTATGGTTCAGTAGGGCGCAGTATGGTTCAGTAGGGCGCAGTATGGTTCAGTAGGGCGCAGTATGGTTCAGTAGGGCCCAGTATGGTTCAGTAGGGCGCAGTATGGTTCAGTAGGGCGCAGTATGGTACAGTAGGGCCCAGGAGTGTGCAGTAGGGA